GGAACAGACCAGATGAAGCTACTATGAGAAAAAGCAGAGAGAGCAGAACGTTAGAGATCAAACTAAATATAATACAGGTAGAATGAAACGAGCTGCTGGAAGTAGGACAAGGATCATATTTCCAGTTTTCCTGAAAAGTAGCCAATCACAGGCAGTTTACTTCCTCAGGTTGGTTCCTCCCACAAATGGACAAAACTTAACATGAGGTTAGGGTTGAAACAATTCATTGTGATTAATTGATTATCGAAGTAATCGTCAATTAATTTCGTAAGCAATTAACCGTTACAGCATTAATTATAAAAATATATGTAAAACATTTTGCATTTCAGATAAAAGAAAAGTTTTCATCTGTCAATATGCTCTATCCAGAACTCCTCAAATGGAAAAGCTTTATTTCCACCTTGTTGAATTATTCGTACAAAATCTTCTGTAAGGAACCTTTGGCTATGCAATTATTAATCGATTAATCGATTAGCAAAATGATAATTAGTTGCAGCCCTACATGAAAGCAGAGTCATGTAGGACAGCAGGGCATCAGAGTATTAAGTCTGCCTTTCCTTTATAAAATATTCAAAAGTTTGTATGTTTTGCATAAAACTGCTCTTTGAGTATTTCCTAACATGCTGCTTTTTTCCCGTCATTCTCCAGCAGCTTCTGAACACTGTGGGTTTTATTGTGAAAACACCATTAATCAGATTTAATTATTAGTAGATCAGGATGACCATAATGTGACCATGATGCAAAGAGATCCACTAATATTGCCTTTTTATAACATTTGCATCTGTGATGTTAAATACATGATTTGGTTTGTATCCAGATGTTTGTGTTTCCTATCAGCTGAAAAACATTTGATAAAGTTTCATAATTCGATGTTTGTCGCATATCCTGACTGTCCTCTGTTCCTTTTTTTTTTTCTTCTCCAGGAAGGAAAGCAAGCCTCTCTGGCCGCCGACTTCTCTGTAACTCAGTTCAAACATCTGGGTCGTCTCCTCATGGTGCACGGTCGGAACAGCTACAAAAGATCAGCCGCCCTCAGCCAGTTTGTCATCCATAGGAGCCTGTGCATCAGCACCATGCAGGTGGAGCCAACTGAAACATTTTCAGCCATTTCAGGAACCAAAGCGCCTTAAAAAAGCCTCTTAAAAACTTCTTTCCCACTGAAAATAAACCGTGTTTTTTAAAGTTGGATTAGACCGCTAACAGTCGCCATTTGGTTCCCTTCCCATTGGCAAAAAAAAAGCTACGTTCAGACCGCCCGCTGCAGAGGCAGCAGGAAGCGGCTAGTTTACACGGAGAAGTCACTGGTTGACGCGCATCAAGGCGCAGCGAAATGTCCTGCAGCACGTTTTGAGCAGCACACTGGAAAAACGATAAAGAAATAAGCAAAAATGTCTTAAATTAAGTGTATTTACCCTTAACTTGAGGAGGTAAATGAAATAGTTTGCAATGGAATGAGTATTTTTACTCTTAAAATAAGATAATTAGATAACATGCACTTGAAATAAGAATACAATTGTGTTTTCTTATTTTAAATGTAAATTGTCTTGTTTCATTGGCAAAATGTATCTTTTACCTCCTTAATCCAAGAACAAATGCACTTATTAAAAAATGACTTATCTGGATTTAGATTTTTTCCAGTGCAGAAGCGGCGCCTCACGAGCTTCTGAGCATCTGATGCGCTTCAGAAGCAGCTGCTGCTGCTCGACGCGCCGCATCAACCAATCAGAGAAGCTGATCTGGAAGCTGATCTCAGTGACAGAGCGCCGCCATTCTACGGGGGTCTGAGCAGCTAAATAATATTTGAAGGCAGGATGGTAATTTGGTGGTACATTGACTGCACAGATTACAGGTGGACTTTCTTACTTTAAAAACAATAAAACTACTTTTTACCCACTGATCACAGCAAATATAACTGCCATTGTTACAAGCAAAGAAAGGATAGGGTAGCTCCGCCCAACGCACATCAGACTCTCTTTTCCACCGCACAGCTAGAGCAGCAAAGATGTTTCAGCCGCGCGTCAGAACTAAACTTGTACAAGCATCAAAAGTGAAGCAGCACGCGTGTTTTTGCTGCTCCTGCTGCGTATGTTCTGAACGTAGCATAACCCATGGCAGCTGTGTGGCCTCTGTCTTCCCGCAGCTGTACATCTGGTTACACCATCACCCTGGGTTGGCGTTGATGATGTCACCAGTGCGACAGAAAACAGAAAAGTAACAATGGAGAGCAAATGGAAGGAAGCCAGGGCGTAGTCAGTGTAATTTATTGTTTCACTCTATTCAGGGTCCTTAAAAAGTCTTAAAAGGCATTGAATTCTTCAAAATAAAACTAAGGCCTTAATTGGTATTAAAGTGTCTTAAATCAGTCTTTCGTAGGTCTTAATTTTTAA